GCTACTTTATTGTAGTTTAAAGATGAAGTGCGAGTCTATTTACAGGAAAGCGTAATACCTCCCAGACACAATCACGGAACAACCCATTTTCAACGTTAATAATATGTCAGACTTCAACATTGATTCCACGTCGGATATCTACGTCAAAAAACTTTCATATACAACCTATTTTCAATCTATTTTCAACGTTGAGGATCAATCCTATTCTCAACGTTGAAACAACGTTGATGTGCCTGCTGGGTTGTCATTGTTGACTGCGTAGTTAAGCAACACAGATTAGTCAGAAACATAAATGTAGAGTACAAAATCGGTCAAGATCGCTCCCGTACCTACCGTATGTAAATATGCCACGCTAGTGTATCCTTCTGATATGTCAGGCTTAGGGACAATATGGGTGGTTGTTTTTGTTTCTGGGGATAGTATTGGATAGTTCACCCTCGTCCCATAGCATCTGAACACCGAACAACTACCACATCGTGTTTGTTGAGGCAAAAGGGACAGTGATGCACAATATTTTCACGACATTCACCTCATGTGTTTGCTCTCTATGAAATCGTCCTTCCCGTACCTCCAATACACGAACAACTCCCTGACATCGTCATTCGAACCCATTCACCTAATGACATTCCGCAAACCAATTCAACCTTTTGCAATTTGTTTGCATCATGCTGAGCGCTCGTTTGTGTTACAAGACACTAGTGCTGCACGTGCGGAATTGCCCAGGCGCCGATTGGCATAACCGTTTGGATACGCTGGGAACGAAAGGCTTATGCACTTGTTATCGCCAAACACATTTTCTTAAATAATAAATATAATATATCCCTGCATATTTCATCGTGATTAGTCGGTATCTAACCTAGGTACAATGTTTTGTAAACCCTCGAGAACAGAGCTCTACGAACACTGAATTCGATCATGCATTCCCGTGTTTGGGTGGGACAAACAGAGGAGAACTTGGGGGTCGTGCTTTGGCCTACAAACAAATGTTCCTGTGACATAAACAGTTTTTAGATTCCCTCTCAAAAGACACAAATATTACAAACAAGTGACACATTTCATGATTATACTTTGATGTATTCATCGCAAGCATGTAGTGAGGTTATGGGAACGGGTCGAACCCATTGCTGCTCGGGTCATATACGGTGACATGTGCATACCTGATGACAAATGCTCTTATATCCAAACAACAAGCCACTTACAGTCGCCGTTAGACTCAAGCAGCCCACGGATTATGTGATGTGTGTATGTTGAGTCATGAGACTCGCTTGAAGATGTTCCACTTTAAAACAAGGGTTGCAAAACCTGGTGATTCACCCCGTCGACAGTTGAATCATTCATTGTGCTTGTAACGGTTATTTATGGCTGAAGAAACCAGAGCTTGTTGAAGGTACAAAGTTATAGCCTTGTTCAGATACCTGGGGTTTTGACATCCCCGTTGATACAATGTGATATAAAGTGTGGTTTTAGCAGTGACCATATCATTATGTCCTGTTACATGGTCACTGGTCTCAGGCAGGTAATCAGGAAGTTATGGGTTGAATTGTCAGGTGACATGTTGTTTTTGACCACTTACACAAACCTACACACACCGGAACTACACACACCGGAACGATAAATTAACCCCGACCCCTATACGTGGTAGCTTGTCAGAAGTACACACACCGGAACGATAAATTAACACCGACTCCTATACGTGGTAGCTTGTCAGAACTACAAATTCCACCAATTCTCTTGTGCAAATATCCAAAGAGCACATAGTGAAAGTATCAAAGTATTCATTTTGTTTGAGAAACTCCCGTAAATGGAGTGGTTGATCTGACAACTTGCATGTGTAATCTTTTGACATAATATTTCTCGCAAAACCATTTGAAAATTTCAGTACAGGTTTTCAAAGTAAGAGCTATCAATTGGTTCCATGTCAGACTGACGCTTATATTAATTATTTTGATAGAAACAAGTAATTGCTCAGAAAGTGAAAAGGAGCCCAGTGAACCTGATGAAATCTAGACTTGCTTCATATTGAGCTTAAGCATTGCAGAAAGGGCTGGGCGGAAGGGAACATACTGCAGGATTGTGGGCCAGACTTGTTTCACACCATTAGAGGGTTCTGCCAAGCCTAAGGGCAACAACTCTGTTATGCGACAGTAAAGTACCTGGTTCAGCAGGTTTACGTCCCAATGCAGACCGCAGCCAAAAGCTTCTCAAAGACAAAATATACGTTCCAGGAATCATAAAAGATGGCTTAGGCATCAACACGAACCATCTGCATAGCCTGCCCAAAAGTACTCAACATGGTGCGCTGACGAGACTGTTCGTTATGCGGGACATGTTATAGAGCTTTCAGTTGATGCATCATGACCAGAAACATCATTTGTATAATGCTCAACCCTAGTCAACAAGGCATACATTCTGTGGCATTTACCAACGTTAGGATTGAACGGGCACGTACATACCAGTAACATGGACTGGCATCTACTTTCGTTCCTTACTGTAGATTGTATTCCATTTGCTAATAAACATATATGTCTCCCATATATCATATTGTTTATTTTGTTGTTTTTGTGTGTGTTTTTGATGATTTGTTAATAATTGTCTGATTTAGTTAGTGATAGGATACTGAGATATAGCGTGTGAATGGTCTGAGGCAGTTACGAAATTAACACAATATACTGATACAATTAAGGCGTTATGTGATAGTGTCTAAATGACTATATTCTGATACAATTAAGATATTATCTGATAATATGTGTACATGATTAGATTCTGATTCAATTACGAAATTATCTGATAGTGTGTGTAAATGATCAGATTCTGATACAATTACGACATTATCTGATAGAGTGTAAATGATCAGATTCTGATACAATTACGACATTATCTGATAGAGTGTAAATGATCGGATTCCCACACAATTACGACATTATCTGATATTGTTTGTAAATGATCAGATTCCCACACAATTACGACATTATCTGATATTGTGTGTAAATGATCAGATTCCCACACAATTACGACATTATCTGATATTGTGTGTAAATTATCAGATTCTGATACAATTACGACATTATCTGATAGAGTGTAAATGATCAGATTTTGATACAATTAAGACATTATCTGATAGAGTGTAAATGATCAGATTCTGATACAATTAAGACATTATCTGATAGAGTGTAAATGATCAGATTCCCACACAATTACGACATTATCTGATAGAGTGTAAATGATCAGATTTTGATACAATTAAGACATTATCTGATAGAGTGTAAATGATCAGATTTTGATACAATTAAGACATTATCTGAGTGTAAATGATCAGATTCTGATACAATTAAGACATTATCCGTGTGTAAGTGATCAGATTCTGATACAATTAAGACATTATCTGTGTGTAAATGACTGATACAATAAGAATGCATACAACTAAACGCTTGTGGTGTAGATTCTACTTATCAAGGCGAAGGGGCTACGACCAAGAAAAATGTTGTCACAAACAGCAGATTGACATCAGCAACATATAATGGATAAAACGTAGCACAAAAGTAAAATAAAGTCATACGATTTATAAATGAATCGAAACATTGTAGAAATGAAATGGTGTATTGTAGGAATGATCTGCTATAAAGTGGGAATAATTAGACATAGTGTGTCGGTTATCTGATGCAATGTGAAATGAATGATCTGATACAATGTATGACTGACAGCTTTAAATCATAGGTTATAATGTATAAATTATCGCAAACAAATGGTCTGAAATAATGTATAAATGACCTAGTACAATGTAGTAGTGATCCTATGCAGGCTGAAAAAACAACAGTTGCAGTTTTAAAATGATCTTTACAATGAATTTGACGGAGAAACAATTCTCATCACCTGTCAGATATATCTTCATTTTTCCATTAACGGTCAAATTTCAATTTTTCGTTTGGCTTATACTCAGAACAGAAACACATATATGCAATGCATCAATTATTTTACAGCACTTTCGGACGGTTTTGTAGGCTAATGGTAAAATAATTAACTCGTTGCACTGATTAAGGTCAAATGTTAAGCAAATTTGGGAAAATCACAAGTGATGTGGCCAGAATAGTGTTGGGATGGGGCTAAACACTAACCTCCTTCACGGCAGTGTTTGTACCATTTTATAATACAAATACCTTGCAAAAGAAACTACACCTATATTTGATGGTGACTAACAGAAAATGGTTATTCTGTGGCACTGCATTTGAAACGGGTATCATAGGTGTGTTATGGAACTTACGTTTTCAATATTTCGCCGAAGTTTTTCAGCCGAATGTTTTGATCATGTTGGGAATACTTTTAAATTTTAATTTCAAGGGTTTACTGTTTTCCCCTTAGTTTGTATGTTTCGCTTTTATATATCACCAGTCATACTGCACGTAGGATAAACTCATTCTACAGAAATGACCTTTAAGTTGTTGATACCATTTTATAACACACAGAGAACATTAGCTTAGGGTCACTGTCACCTTGACTCGTGTGCGCATGCTGTGTGGCAGAACATCGTCAACATCACCCGAACTACCTACATACATCATTTCTGTATACAGTATCCGATTACCATTGTGACAGTGATACAATATCAGTGACGAAATTAGACGTCTGAATGACACATGCTGAGCGACGATAATATTCCAGTCGCCGCAAATTATATGTGACATTTTATGTAAGTGGACTGAAACTTTTATTGTTTGGTAATTATCAAAACGATCTTTTACAAAAATTAGCGTTGCAAATAATAAATAATAATTATTTTTATACGCTGGAAAAATGTGTAAGTTGAGATAAGATCACAACAATGATAAGGGAACAATAGTATTTTACGTAGTTATGTTGTTAACAAAGAAATGATTACAAGCGAAATTATGTGAGATGATTAACGATAAATGTGTTAACCTTCACTTAGTATGGTCCAAACCAATCCCTGGTCAGCCGGACTGTCTATATAGTGTGGGATAGTGGCAGTTGGTAGTCAATACCATTAGCACTAATTCCGGTGTTTCATTCAGTGGGATCGTGGGAAAACACTGCACGATGCAATTCATTATTCCTTGTGTGGTGCTCTTTGGACATATCGTAAGTATCTCAAAGAGTATTCGATGGGAATTATTTTAAATCTAATCATTGCCTGACATCAAAATTTAATTAGAATTATGAATCAGAAAGTTAGGGGTGAACATTATTCAACGCCTCACAAAAATACGTTATTTATCAAAATGCAAAACTGCTTAAGAAATACAATCGTTTTTCACTTTCATTATATGAAACATATTCGTTTTATTAACACTGTCATGTTGATTAGATTACCTGCTGTGTCATTAATTCAAATTAAATATGTCCACATCTTTTTCAGTGGATGACTTCAGCTGAGAAAGGTACGTTTGATAGTTTCTGCAGTGGTTATTAAAGTTTTCAAAGTCACCCTCCATGGACTATATGCGCTTTCCTTCCTAGCATGCTATGTTGTAATGCTTTAAGTCAATATCGTTATTATACGACGAAACGTATGTCAGTTTCCCACACACCGTGTCAGATTACTAGCACATGTCTTATCCCGGGTAGGCTTTGACAGTTTTATTATACAGTGTGTCAATTTCCTCATACGGTGTGACAATTTCCTAATACAGTGTGTATACAGTGTATCAATTACCTAATACAGTGTGTCAATTTCCTCATACAGTGTGTCAATATCTTATACAGTGTGTCAATTTCCTTATACAGTGTGTCAATTTCCTTATACAGTGTGTCAATTTCCTTATACAGTGTGTCAGTTTCCTTAAACAGTGTGTCAATTTCCTTAAACAGTGTGTCAATTTCCTTATAGTGTGTCAATTTCCTTATACAGTGTGTCAGTTACCTTATACAGTGTGTCAATTACCTAATACAGTGTGTCAATATCTTTATACAGTGTGTCAGTTACCTTACACAGTGTGTCAATTTCCTCATACAGTGTGTCAATATCTTTATACAGTGTGTCAGTTACCTTATACAGGGTGTCAATTTCCTGATACGATCAGATGATAAGATTCGCTGACTTGCTTGACAAATGTCATCGTATCCCAGCTGCTCAGATCGATGCTCACGATGTTGACCACTGGATTGTCTGGTCCAGACTCGATTATTTACAGACCGCCGCCATATAGCTGAAAGACTGCGGAGTGGGGAGTTCAACAACACAAGACAATCAATACATACATGTAATAGTAATAGTGATAGTGATAGTTATATTCTGTTGATATGGTGCTCAATTGCTCATGGCACATTGCCTGCTCACGGCGTTACGTACATTACTATCCCCGGTCATAGGACACTATCGTACTTTCCGATACTTTTTCAACTGCCTGGGGAGTATACAGCCATGTTGCCTGTTAGGCGTAATGAACTAAACACCCACATCCTCACCGGTACCCATTTTACAGCTGAGTGAACTGAGACAATGTGGATCTAAGTATCTTGTCCAAGGATACTACGCAAATGTACCCACCTCGGGACCCGAACCTAGGTGCCTCAACCGGGGATCGAACCAGGCCATGCAGCGTGATAGGCAGACGCCTTACCACTGCAATATTGCGCTCCACGCAATATGTACAATATCAATATTTATAGAAGAGTGAAACTAACCGTTACCAAGACTCAAACCACAGTGTTCATTTACATACGATTGCTATGACTGAAAAGATTATACTTACGTCAACTTGATCTTGCAGGCTGCGGAGGCAAACCAGCAGATGTGGTATTCGTCCTTGACTCTTCGGCCAGTATAATTGCTGAAGACTTCCGCAAACAGATCCAGTTTACGCGCGACGTGGTCGACCTCTTTGACATCGGCCCCGACAAAACTCGAGTAGGTGTCGTCCTCTTTAGTACAGACGTGTATCCTGTGTTTGGATTAACACGTTTTACTGACAAGCGAAGCATGGAACGAGCCATCGAGGGGATTACCCAGGAAATAGGAGGCACCCAGACACAGAAGGCTCTGGAAGACATCAGAGAAAATGAATTCAAGAAAAATGCTCGCCCAGAGGTTCCTCGAATTGCCATTGTCTTGACCGATGGTCAGTCGTATGATCGGAACTTTACCATCCATGAAGCCACTCTGAACCATCAAGCTGGGATCACAACGTTTGTGATTGGTATTGGATCTGGAGTTGATATGACAGAGTTATCTGCCCTTGCCTCTATCCCTCACAGCACCTACCTGCATCGTATAGGTGACTTCTCTGTCCTCCAAAGTATAAAGACAAGACTTGCAATTGAGACGTGCAAAGGTGAGATTCGATAATGCTCAATATTTTCGTCAGCGTCGTTGCTCAATATACATCTATGTTCCTTGAAAGAATATCTAAAGGCTTCAAATGACGGCCAAAAAGGGCACATAGTACAAGTTAGACGATAGTATGAACACCTGGTGTCATAACTGAATACGGAATACGTTGATTAATATTGTTTGCACCAGTTTTGGAATACGTTGATTCATATTGTTTTCACCAATTTTGGAGTACGTTGATCAATATTGTTTTCACCAGTTTTGGAATACGCTGCTTCATATTATTTTCACCTGTTCTGGAATACGTTGATTCATATAGTTTTCACCAGTTTTGGAATACGCTGATTCATAATTATAGTTTTCACCAATTTTGGAATACGCTGATTTATATGGTTTCCACCAATTTTGAATACGTAGATGGAATCTGCTTTGTCGGAGAATTGTTATTCTTTGGCGTTGTTGCACGTGAAATATTTCATACGCGATACTTGGTGGTGCTTTATGCATTTTATGACCCCTTGCGGCTGTGTGACCGAAATGACCGGTAAGCGTCTCCATAGTAACAGTTGTTTTTGAAGACGTAACAGACATGACGCAGTCATATTTCTTATGGCTTCTTGTCTGGTGGGATTACTTTGTTTTTCATCTCTAGAACCTTAAGTTAATTTATCGTCACTGTTACCATAATTTCTAAATGAATGTTCGATGCCGCTTCCATTACTTCAACCTTTTGTGGGAAAAGATAGCATTAACAATACTCCTCAAATATATTCTATTTTCACAATTATTCCTTGCCTTACGTTATTCTTAAAACTATTTTTCCGATGTCCCAAGATGAACATGTTTTGAATAATTAGTACGTTCAAAAAACATTATTCAGGTCTGGTTTCTTTTAAAGTTTTAACTGGACACGGGGGAGAAATGTCGTCGGTGGATGTAACAATAGTTATATAGTTAAAACATGTTGGCTGACATTTGTATCTTCTTTTCCACTTGTAGTGAAGTATGTGAAACCGACTCCGAGACCTACACCCGCTCCGACCATACAAGCTGATGTCCCTGTTGGTAAGACGTGGCTAATACATGACATGTATGTTTCCTTGAAGGTTCAAATTCTAGTTTGGGCTTGAGTGCGTGATCGAAGTGGTATATCTATCCTAATTTGTATCTCAATGAAGTATAAATTCTGGTATTTTTATGTGTCTGTTCGTGTTTGTCTGTCTGTGAGATGTGTATGTGTGTCTGTGAGATGTGCATGTGTGTCTGTGACTTGTGTGTGTCCGTGTTCGGATTTGTGTCTGAGATGTGTGTGTGTGTGTGTGTGTCCGTGAGATATCTGTGTGTCAGTGTTCGTCTGTGTGTCCGTGGTCGTGTGTGTCTGTTCATCTGTCCGTGGTCCTGTGTGTTTGTTCGTGTGTGTGTTTGAGAGAGAGACAGAGAGAGAGAGAGATTACATTACATTTGTGAATATCGCGTCAAAACTCTGACTATTAAAGGGTCTTTCTGTGCTCATTAGAGTAACGTGGCACATTCGCTGGCAGCTTCGACATTTCTTCACACAAATATAATTAAGACTTTTGTGTCCATCTGTCTAAATATATACATGTAATACTCATACCGATCAGCTTCAAATATTGCAGAATCTGCTGTTCACAGTTGTAATACGATCCTTCCCGTCAAGGTTCGGGTTAGAATTGATCTTCAGAAACCGGTGCGTCTTGTCAGAGGCGACTGGCGACTGTTAGGTTCAGGGTTAGGATCAGGGTTAGGTTCAGGGTTAGGATCAGGGTTAGGTTCAGGGTTAGGATCAGGCTTGGTTGATGCATGTCATTGTACCCCAATAGATCGATGTTCATAATGTCAACCACTTGTTTGTCTCGTCTAGACTCGATGCAATACGGCGGCGTTACAGAGCAAGCAAGCACAGTATAACCATTACATCGCAGATGTTGCGCACGCAAGATATTTTACGTCCGCTTGCACAATTACGCCGACACAGTACGGATTCAACTGCTGAGGTGTTCGATATGCCTGGAATGTTTTTAAACAAAATAACTTGTTCCAGAAAACAAAAACACGGAAAAGTACCTTTAGATAATGTAAGGTTTTGTCAAAGTAAATAAATATTACGGCCTGTCAATTCAGGAAAAGCAGGTATTTTCCAGTAGCTATGAAACATATCAGCGGTTTGGTGGGTGCACGTCGTTATGGTATATAATTTTATGATTTTCTGCTATTGCTGAGCTTGTTTACTTACATACCGCAGTCCAATTGTGCAATATTGCTGATTGCACGGTCAAAGAAAGAATCCTACAAGCCATGTTAACGCTCTCATATCTAAAATATTAACCGAAATACGGCATGAAAATGCAACAAAACTCATTCACTCAGCTCGTCACCCACCCACCCACTCACTCACTCTGGATAGCTCGCATATTACTCAGGGGCGGATCCAGGAGAAGGGTTAGAGGGAAAAGCTCCTCAGGACAATTTATTTCGGAGGAGGGGCGCATCCCCACAACTTGATCCGCCCCTGTTATTGCATAAATGAAAGTCCAATAGCATATCTTTCTTACTGCTCTCACTCACAGTCTGTGTTCAATTTCGCTATCAAAGCAGATAATAAATTTTGATCTACCGCAGATTCCAGTGAGTGCATCCTTAGTCTCATCATCGGCGTGGACACCAACGGCGTCAGCACACGCTCCACAAAAACATCCTCTCCTTCCTCTCCGAAGTCACGGAGAATCTGTCGGGTCTGCCCGGTAAGGTCCGCACGTCACAGATTATGACGGAATGTGCCGATTCACCTCGAATCGTTAGATCCAAGAGTTATGCCCCTTTGATAAAGAAAATGCGGTATCAAATGCCAAAGAAATCAAGCCGTGTTAGATCGGCGGGGATTTTATTCATCAACAGCCAAATCGAAGATGCTTCAAGAGCTGTGACTGAAGTAAGAAGAGCAAGATTTAATGGCTTCCAATTATTCGTGGTTGTTGTTGGCCAAAGTGGAGGGGAGGACGATGTATCGAAACTTCTTGGGGTAAAAAGTAGTTCCAAGGAATACAGCGGAACAGTTTTCAAATCTCCAGCTTACAGTAAGCTGCCAGTAATCGTGACAGAACTCATCCAGGTGCTAGAAGAATCTGCCTCCTGTGTGTGATGCTTCGTGTTGAAAAATAAACATTCATTGCACTAAATACAATCACACATTACCACAGCCTCTGGATCTAGGAGTGATTCTAAAATAGGCAGATCTAAGTTGATTTTCTTTTTGATCATGTTTGCCACTTGTGTTGGTTGAGTAGATTTTATCAGAGACCAAGGAAAGTATACAGCGGTCGGATATATGTCTGGTTATGAATATTCCCTAATGTGCCTTTCCGATTCGCATATAGTGTATTCCAACACATAAATATTCATATTTATCAACCTTTATTCACTTGTGTTTGCCCATATGCTGCAAACGTGGCGAGTTCAGTTGTCACTGGATGAATTGGTCAATCATGACATATAAGGATTGGACCCGTGAGGATCCGGGTTAGAATTGGTCTTCAGTAACCCACGCTTGTAGTAATAGGCGACTAACGACTAACGGGATCGGGTGGTCAGGCTCGACTTGTGTGATACACGTCATCGTATCCCAAATGCGTAGATCGATGCTCATGTTTTGATCACTGGATTGTCTGGTTCATATAGCTGGAATATTGCTGGGTTCGGCGTTAAACAACAAGCCATCCATCCAACCATCCATCTTTTAAAAGACTGAAGTTCTGTTTACTGACGTTCATCAGATGAAGACAGTTATTCACTTGGGCAAATTTCATGATGCGCTAAGCGCTAGATGGAAAATTCGCTCATGAGAGGCACTGTTCTCATCATCTGCTGAACGTCAACAAACACAAATGTAATCCCTTTATTCGCAGTTTCATGAATCAAAACAATCCTTTCAAACAACAAACTAACTATTTAAGGCGAACGGGGAGAGTTGCTTTGGTAGCGACGTCACACGTCTCATTTGAAGTTACGTCCCTTGGTTTTACAAACGTTACAAAATGGCTGCTGCATTCATCTAAAATGGACGGTTCAACCAACAAAGTGGGAAGCGGAATGAAATCCATACCCGGTTTATGCTGGAAATAGGATCATATGAACGTTCTGTGAACTTCTGGTGCACGTTTGACTCATACGAGGTCTAGATGAGCTGTTGATGACGTGAGTATCGACTAGAGGCCGCGCATTTCCCGATGTAGTAACTCAACGTAAGTAAAGCTGCACCTACAAATAAACTCTTCGTTTGTTGATCTCTTATATACATGATCTATACCATGTGATGACACCGTCCCAAACGACGATATTTTTAGAAACAGGAATTCCCCAAACTTAATTATGTAAATCTCTCGATGGACAGACAACATAATCCCCTGACATTCATCGGAGAGGGGGAGGTCAGTATACCACTGTGACGTCACATCTGCCTGATCACTGTGGGTGTTCCAGTAGACTGAGCGCGTTACGGACAATTACTCAAAAGAGTTTTCACTTTCGATAAATATTTTGATATCCTTGGGTCCCAGGGATTTAATTTAAAATATTATCTGCTCCCCAATATGTTTGAAAGGTATAATTCATCTGAGATTTTAGCAAGAAAGCTGTTCGCTAGAAGTGTTGGATTTTTTGAAAATGACAGCAACAAAATCCATTCCAAAGAAAACAATATCTCATAAGCAAGTGTTTATGGATTTTTATCGAATAACGATGATACCAGGTCTTCCCGAAAACGAGGGCCTATCCTGCTCCATCGACGACACCTGTCATAAACACAAGCAAAGACAGGGTAATTATTGAAAAAACACGACAACACAAGTTAAAATGTGGAACTGCTTAAGACATCAGTTTTGTCACTGTTGCGTCAACGTTAGAAATGACATCAACATGTCAGCCATTAAAATTTTCAAAGCTGTAAGGTTTTTCTGTGTTTTAACCATGATCGGAACTTTTAATGTGTTATAAGTAATACAAAAACGTATTGTCCTGAACCGAAGACATGATACCCTGCTGCAAACAAAACTCCCAGTTTCCGAAAGGTATTCGACTGCAGGGTACTTCACACACAAATTGAAGCCAGTTGTCATTTACAATAGTGTTGTCACGTCACTGGTGTCATTTAGCTCACAATTACAGTAGGTGACACATTATCGTGCTCCGAAATCCCAAATACTATTATATACATACGTTTGGATACAAATCATATTCCATGTTGGCGTGACTTAAAGACCTTCACTGAGCTGCACAACTCAGACTGATATAATTTGTTTGCCATACATATAAAGGTATATTTACCTCTCAACATAGCCAATAGGGACGTGAAATCAAGAATACCAATTTCAATATTTATCAACCTACGCAGCTATAGGTATCATGTGTTTGTCATTCTTCAAGATATATTTACCACTCAACATAACCAATAGTGACGTGAGATCACAGTACTAATTTCAACATTCATCCACGTACACAATTCAGATTGATATTATTTGTTCATCATTAATCCGCATTTAACACACTCCATGGCGACGTGAGATCAGGCGTACTAATTTCAACATTCATCGACGTACGCAATTCAGATTGATATCATCTGTTTGTTATTCATAAAGATATATTATCCACTTAAGATGGACAATAGTAACGTGAGATCACAGAACTAATTTCAACATTCATCGACGTACATAATTCAGATTGATATCATGTGTAAGTCTTTAATCAAGGTATATTATCCACTTAAGCTGGTCAATGGTGACGTGAAATGACGAGTAATACGCTTAACGTTCATCGACCGGACAAATTTAGAGGTATGTTAACAAATTAACACACTCAATAGTGACGAGTACTAATTTCAACATCCATCTACCTACACACCTCAGACTGATATCCTTTGTTCATCATTAATCAAAGTATTTTAAACATATAACTTAATCCATGGCGACGTGAGATCACAAATACTTACTTCAACATTCATTTAGCTGCACAACTCAAATAGGTATCATTTGATTGTCATTCACGAAGGTATATTTAACACTTAACATACCCAATAGTGACGTACTACACAACTCAAATAGATATCATTTTTTTTTCATTCAAGAAGGTATATTAACCATTTACTTACCCAATAGTGACGTACTACACAACTCAAATAGATGCCATTTGTTTGTCCTCGAGGTATATTAACCACTTAACATAATAATAATAGTGGATATTTGTAAAGCGCCAGTATCCACCCACTCATGCATGCTCATGACGCATTAAAACTGTTTACAGAAGAAGGGAAAATGTCAATTATAGGGTTGTCTTTAGGTCCTTCTTAAAAGAGTCCAGGGTTGGGGCGAGTTTGAATTGGAGCGGTAGAGAGTTCCATAAGAGAGGCGCGACATGCTGAAAGCTCCTCTTTCCAAAAGAGGTGAGCCGAGCTTGAGGTACTTTGAGGAGCTGTTTATCCTGGGAACGCAGAGTTCTGGAAGGCACATACTGGGTGAGGGGAGATGAGAGATATGTAGGGGCAAGGTTGTTGAGACACTTAAAGACTGAACACAGAACTTTGAAGTAAACAGTATTGAACAGGAAGCCAATGCAAAGATTTTATCACAGAGGTTATATGATCATATTTTGAACTCAAAGATATAATTCTAGCGGCTGTATTCTACACTTTCAGGAATCTTTTCATGTGTTCTTTTGATATTCCAGTGAGAAGGCTATTGCAGTAGTCTAGGCGGGAAGACACAAGACATCTGACCAGGATATGTGCACTCTCTTTAGTGATGTATTTTCGGATGGTATCAATAGAACGAATGTCAAAGTAGCATGTCTTACACAGATGATCCACTTGTGCAGACATGGAAAGGTCCGACTGTAGCTGTACTCCAAGATCTTTAACTTGTCGTGTAATGGGGAGATACAGGCAGAAGCAATCTTCACTCGCTCAACATCTACCTTGTCGATGTGCTGTTGTCTTCCGCCCAATAATACCTCTGTTTTGTCGTCATTTAACTTTACTTTTCTTTCGGTCATCCATAATTTCAGAAGTAGTTTTCAATTTGTTGTAGGGTGTCAGAAATGGATTCAGTGTTAAATCTATTCATCAGTTGAACATCATCTGCATATGAAAAATGAGGAGTCCCAAACTTGTCGGTTATGGTTTTGAGACAGTTTACGTATAAGAGAAACAACACAGGTCCCAACACCTTGTGGGACTCCACACGAGAGCACTGTCTTATCCGAAAACTGTCCCAAGACATATACAGACTGCCGCCTGACATGGAGATAAGATGCAACCCAAGAGAGCAGTGTTCCACTGATACCAACTTGATGCTGTAAAATATCCAGAAGCTTGGAATGATCAACCGTATCAAACTCTGCACCGAGATCTAAAAGAGTCAGCGTTGCCATGTCACCAGAATCCACTAGACACCTGAGATCATGAACAAGTCTCAGGAGCAAGGTCTCTGTTGAATGTTGCGGACGATAAGCAGACTGATAGTCATCAAGGATGTCATGGAGGTTGATATGCTTCATCAGTTGTCTGGTAGCAGCTTTCTCCACAAGATTTGAAAGAAAAGTCAAGTTTTAAAAGTTCTTGAGTATGTTGGTATCAAGTTTGGAATTCTTTAACAGTGGAGTAACAATAGCATCTTTCAAACATGTAGGGAAAACACCAGATGAAAGACTTTTATTAATAATGTCTGTTATAACTGGAAGTAAATGATCGAGATGATCAACCACAAGATTGCTTGGCATTGGATCATTCAGACAAGTGGTTTTGTCGGATGATTTGATGAGAGTCAGAACATCCTGTGGAGTACAAAGTGCGAACTCCTTCAGAGGAACGCCATCAAATAAGCGTTCCTCGAACACCATGTCTGGCTGTTGATACTCCCTGAGAAGTTTCTTGATATCCAGAATTTTATTCTCAAAGAATGAATTGAAATCATCGGCAAGTTGTGTAATATCATCACATTGAGGAAGAACAACTTCTTTCGTCTTGCCCATAATGTATTTCATGAAATTGTGGAGATCTCTGGGCTTTCCTACACACTCTGTAATTTCGTGTTTACAGTACAAACGCTTCTGCTCTCGGACGATGTTGCAAAAAGCATTTCTTTGAGATTTATACATTTGACGATGTATCTCAAGTTGAGATTTTCGCCACCTACGTTCTGCTTTACGTCTTTGACGTTTAGCTTCATGAACACGTTCATTGTACCAGGGACATCCTGTATGCTGTGAAAAGTACGCTCCGAGGTGCATGACAGTCCAGCAATTGGCGAAGTGAGTTGTTATACAATGCAGTCTGCCCATCACAGTCTGATACAGGATTTGTGACAAGATCCGATGTTACCAAATCTTGACTGAATTTCACATTGTCAATTCCTTTAGGATTACGACAAGTTTTTGTAATTATTTCATTCTTTGGCCTCTGCATGTTAAAAGACAAATGTGTAACACAGTGATCAGAGACCAGGTTGTTGTTCACAGTTACATTGTAACGAGAGAAA